CTCTTTCCCCAGTCCCAATCCACTGGTAAGTCTGGTCAGTTCTGCCCACAGAACATTATGGATTCTGGCTTTTATACTTGATTTCTGCTAGTATACCTACTTGAAACCACCCTCTTTTTTTTGGGCAACTTATACTCTAATCTGGTCTCCCTCTTGCCATTCTTGTCTTTCAGCAGTCTACTCTGCATCTAGAAGCTAGAGTTTTATGAATGAAAATCCGATTATTAAAATCCTTCAATATCTTCTTACACTTAGAATGAAAACTCCAAGCCCATTGTCAAGGCCTGTAAAGCTCTATGTGATTTCTGCCTTCTTGTATCATCTATTTTCCTTACTCGTCATCTACATAATGCCTTAACTGTGTTGCCTTCGTTCTGATCCTTGAACATACCAAGCTTATTCCTGCCTTGGAACTTGTGCAGTAGCTATGCATTCTGCCTGCTCTGCCCTCAGAGTTTCCTGTGACTGATTCCTTTTCATTCAGATCATACTTCAACTGTTTATTTCAGTAGCCTTTCCAAACATATTCTCATGTCCTGCTTTGTTTTCTTTAATCTTTGTTATCACTATCTAAAAGTATTTTCTGTGTTTGTATATCTACTTACCTTTTGTCTCTTTCTCTTCTAGAATATAAATTCCATGAGAACAGGTCCCTTTTTTTGTTTGTTTGTTTACTGCTGTATCATCAACAGCAAAAATAATGTTGCTATGTGTTAGACAGTAAATATACTAATTTTATAATAAGATAAATTCATTAACTTTGACTTGAATAAATATAGATCTACATGTAGATGTTATTAAGGTCATTTAAAAATGCTGGAATTATATTAATTTTATCATTGATATTTGCTGTACATTGAAAGTTATTATATATTCACCATCTAGGTATATTCATATATTGATATTGGCAGGATCTAAATGCATGACTTTCAGGATCACTTTGACTAAATTTAAATATATTCATGTTTTAGAAAGAACTTAGTTTTATCTTTTATTTTTAGGTTTTTGCCATAGGGTGCATGTGCTTGCCAGAGGGAGAGAGACAGAAAGAGACAGAGAGAAGGAAAGTAAGAAATCACCCTTTGGGGTATGGATACCCTGTATCCCTTCTCCTCCATTTTCTTCTTGGGATTTTGGGTGCTTATGCAGCTGGTAGGATTTTTCAAGTCCTGGGTCGGACTCGAACTGTGTTTGGTCATGAGGGGGTCCAGTACCTTAGCCACCATGTCACTTGCTATCCCCCTTGGTTTATTTAAGAAAATTACTTTTTTATTCTCATTTTACCAGAGGGTGTGTGTGCTTGCCAGAGACGAAGAGAGAGGCAGAGGGAGAGAGAAAAAGTACCCCCAATTTGGCCTGATCATGCCATAATCCCTCCTTCATTTCTCCATCTTGTTAGGATTTTGGGCATGTATACACACATGCCTAGCATGTTTTTCAAGCCTCTGAGGCTGGGATTTGGACCACACATTCAGCCTGGCTGGAGTCTGGCTCCCTTATCCACCAAGCTATGGGGCCAGCCAGCCCTAGAAAGAAATTATGTTGGGAACTAGCAGTTAGCGTAATGGCTATGTCGCTGGACTCCTACGTAGTTGACCACGGTTCGAGTCCTGGACCCGGTGGCTTAAAACTGATGCTGGGCGTGTGTGCGTGCATGCCCAAGATCCTGAGAGGAGAATGGAGAAGGGATTGTGCCATGACCACCCCCCCTGGGGGGTGATTTCTCGCTTTCTGTCTCTCTGTCTGTCTCTGTCTGTCTGGCGAGCGGCGCCCCCCCCCTATAGCAAAAACCTCTAAAAAAAAAAAAAAAAAAGAAAGAAAGAAATTATGTTGATTGAAATTATAATTCTTGTAAAATTGAACTGAAAGTGCTAATGTATGTTTTATTTTCTTAACACAGTCAAGTGGATTATCGAGCAAAACTTTGGGCTTGCAACTTTTGTTACCAAAGGAATCAGGTAAGAAAACTCCCATTGCAGATATTGATGCTATAATACTAGTCTTGTAACAAAATACATGTTTAAAAAGAAAGATAAGTATTTTTTATATAATTAATCTTTTGATAATTAAACGTTCAGGAAATAGTTTCAGTTTAAAATAGATTTATTACTCTTTCTGGCGAATAATTTAACAATTTTTTTTTTCTCTCTGTAGTTTCCACCTACGTATGCTGGTATATCTGAACTGAATCACCCTGCTGCACTT